AAACCTTGCCACGCAAACCCAACACACATAGCCAAATCTATTCCCCCACCACCCCAAATTTCTCCTGAGAAAAGTTACAGCTGGAATATACTTAATAATTATGGACAACTTGTTTTAATGCTTTTGTCTAAAATCAACCTCAGTATATATTGAAATTCTCTTTATGGATGGTCAGGCAAGTAGTATTTTTTGTAGTGTCTCATGCTGTGTTATAGCCTCTGTTTTAGGGTAGCCTCCTCTCTGTAGTTTTCTGTTTTAAGAAATGAAATACATCTTAACATTTTTGCAACATTGAGAAGACTTTTGGAAGTTTCTTGAACTCTCTTGGGAAAGGAAATAATTTAATATAATTATTATGCACCTTAACTATAGAATATATTAAAAAATATCAATTATACCACATTATGAATGGCAGTGCCAAGTATTCTGTGCTTGTTAAGTTAAACAATCTGAATACAGGATCCTTTCCATGGGTTGAAGAATATGAAACTTATCTTTTTGTTGTGGTAAATAATGGTAGGCACATACAATTAGTGTTGCAGAGCACTATAAGTTGAAATACATCGTTAATTTTCAGTTATCAGTTGAAAGAAGTTACTAATTTTGTAAAGAGATGGTTCAAGTAATATTGTATGGAAAAATAAGGAATGATCTTGTTGGTTACTATGAAAACAAATTACTACTTTTGTTTCCCCACATATTGTTTTCTTTCCTTCTCTTGATGTGGAAATGTGAGTGTGTTCTATTGTTATTTTATGGCTCTCTGTCTTCTGGACCACTGTCTGTCCACCAACCTGAAATTGAGAAATACTGCTGTAGAGTTGCCCTTACTTGCACTGAAATAACACTTAAGCTTCTTCACAAAGTAATTAATTGACACTACAGATTGGCTTTAAATTGGCAACTGAAAACAGTTTACTTGATTTTTGGTTAAGTTGTAACTGACAGGCCAGCCAATTCTAGTGAAAAGTACTCAAGGAGTTTTGTATGTGAAAGGAACTCAAATTAGAGGTTATACTTGAGTTGACTGTTGAAGCTGTCCTCTAGGACATCCCAAATTTCAAATACTGAAATTCAGTATAGTGTATTGAAAAGCTAGATGCTGAGGAAACTGCAGTATTTGAACAACAAGGCTTTTGTTATGTTTTAGTGGTTATTTCACTATTTGAAGAATAAATGATTCTGTGGCATAGTTATTAGATAAATAACACAGATAATAATATGGACACCTATTAAATAGATTTTGAGAAGAAAATGATGCAGAATGGTGCGGTAAGAAAACCACCATTTCCAGCCAACTAGAATTCATCAAGCCCAGAGAATAATCAGCTATTGTACACTTTTCCAAAGAGAATGGTTGTGCATGTGAACCATTTGATTGTGCATCGAAAACTTGTTGATTCGGTAAGAAACAACACTGGCGTAAATTTTTTTCAGTCTCGTACTTTATATGTACCTAAAGAAGTCTTTGCTTTCTCCCGTCACTAGTAAATGTGATCTGCCAAAAGGGGAGGCTGTAAAGTGACAGGATCTTTACTAGGTCCTGGAAATGCTTAGTCCTGTGATTCTTGTGGCACATCAAATGGCTCGATAGATACTGATGCACCACAAGAGGGACATGGGCAAGAGAGACTTTTAATGGATTTGGGGGAGTGAGAGCATGAAGCACCTGAACTTCAGCTCCCATGATACTCTGAAGTAGCATTGCCACTGTCAGTTTACTATTGAACTAACTAAAAATAAACTCAGCAAACCTGAAATTTCTTCTTGGAACAGGTCAGTTATGTAGGAATTACATTTTCTATTAAAATAATCATGATTATAACTTCACAACACTTTTAGTAATGTAGTTAGTATTTGTTTTATCATCCTTTATTGGTAACAAACAGTGAAAATATGTTGATGAAAATGGAGAGATGCAATACATGAAAAGTACAGATTTTAGTTTTCAGGATGCCAGAATAGAACTCAAACGAGAAAAAGCTAAATTTCAATCTTGGGCATCTCAGTCGGCTACATATCTGAAAATCAGACAAAAGTTAATGAAAATTGAGGTAATCTACTGCTTGCATCAAATATTTATTGTTTTCTTTAAATATTGTAATTATTCATACCTATTATTACTTTGGCAATTGCCCTGGTTAGCAGATGGAACTTCTCATATTAATAATGGTTAGGCTTGGGGATTTTTTGTTGTTGTTGATAATTCTGAAGTAAAGAGAGTGACCAGATTTGCTCTGATGTTTACTTCCCTTTTCAGCACACTGGAAACGCAGAACAGCATCCTGCTGGCACCATTATTCTGCCCCAATGTATTTCACTGATCTGTGTCTGCGCAGTTTGTTTCTCAAGGATGTGTAAACAAACAGTAAAGTTAAATGATCTGTGAAAGGCTGATGGAGGAGTGTGCACATGAGGTTTTTATAACCTGTTCAAATATGGCACATTAGCAGGGTCCCAAGACTTCAGCAGCTTTTAGAACTGAAGTGTTAAAGCTCAACCTTTTCAAGGTTCTTAAAATCCTTTGGTGTCAGCTAAATCAATTCTGGTGTAGAATTAGGCTTTGCAAAACAACATCTATTAGTGCCCAGCATGTTTTAGAGTTATGTGTATACTTCTTAGGCATCCACCGTAACTCCTGTTTGTATCAGAGATGTGGTTTTTTGACAGGAATGTAAGAGAGACAGTGAATCTAAAGGAATCTCTAACTTCTAACATTTGACAATGTTCTTTCTTTTCTCTTAGAACAGAACAGTTATTTATTGAGATTCTGATCTATATTGCCTACAGAAATACTACTGTGTTTTCACATTTAAAGTTTTTTGAAGTGTAATAAAGTAAGCATCATAGGTATTAGATATTCAACAAAACTTTATATTTCCAATATTAAAATGTAAAACAATGTTTTGTAATAATTTTTACAATTTATGCTGATTTTAATTGTTTGCATTTTTCTGTTCGAACAATTTAAACTGTCCATAATCTGTTTTTAATCAATTTAATGGTGCCTCTCAGACTTCATAAAAACAAACCCTTTTTCTAATCTTGTAATGTCTATTTAGAGTAGGGCTGTTGAGGTATTTATTATGGAGGGAGAAGGAAGAGGTGAGAGTCCCAATATGCAGGTGGAAGATAAGCTGCTTTTCTTGTATTGGAATGAACTAGTGACAGTCAGTTATTCTGCTGATAGACAGTATTTAGAATTTGGAGGGTGGTAAGTTTTTAAACATCCTGAATGTGATACCAGACACATTTGGAGCTCCTGGTAGATAAGCATACAGCATAGCTCTGCAGTTCATTGAAAATTTAATCCAGATAATGAAGGTCTGGTTTGAACTTTAATGGCAAAAGTTCTTTCAGGAAGAAATAACTTTCACTAGCTATTTCTCACTCATCGTAGAAACAGATTTGTATTTTATTTTATTTTATTTTTTTTACATAGGAAAAAAAGTTGTTGAGAAGACTTTTATGGGTGCATTATAGGAAAATGTGAAACCTGAAATGGATATTGAATCTTTTGCGGGAGGTGGCACTTGCTAATGTGTGCAGCTGCAGATGAATGTATGCTCTGCATGTAAGAGAATCATGAAAAGGGTCTACCTTTGGTCCTACAAATGTTGCAACAGTGTTTTAGGAATTTATAGGAGGGATAAAGCACCTCATTACTAAAATAGTGTTTGTCCTATACTGGCTAGCAAACTGTAACTCCCTAAACATTTTTTTTGGTTGTTTTTTTTTTTTTTAATTTAAGTTTGTCTTAATATTACTACATCTGGTGGTATTACTGCTGCACAGTGTTATATAACATTCCTTTAAGGCATTAGAAAAGAGAGGTCTACATTTCATTATATATTTTTTTTTATTATTCTACAGGAGAACATCTGTTGTATTTCGCAGGAGCGGCAACAGTTAACTCAGCAGTTAAAAGATGAAACTCAGCAGAAGGAACAGTTAAAGCAGATAAAGAATGAAATGGAGAATGAACGATGGCAACTGAACAAGACTGTTGAAAAGTTACAGGAGGAGGTATGAGTTCGCTCCAAAGAGGCCGCAGGAAGCTGAATATCTAACAGACAGAAGGAAATGAGCTGTGAAATTGTAAAGGATTAATTTTTTAAAAAATGTGTAAAGGAAAGTGGAATGCAAACTTTACTATTACTCTCTTTAACCTAGAGACTGTCAGTAAAAGCTTTCAGGGCTGGTACAGTCGTTGGAACACCACTATCTCAAAATACTGTTGTAAAACATTTCTGGTTTGTTTAAACAAGATCCCAGATTTGAGTTCATTTCTAATGTATGCTACAGCGGTATTTCAGAGTTTTACAGCCGATTCTCAAAATGCTCCTGCATTAGACTTACTTTCCCATCTGTGTCTAAACCGTACAACTTCATATTGATATACTGAAGTATGACCATGCAGTTCATTACCTCAGTCAGCTGGAAGAACTGCTGATAGGCAAAAAGATAATAGTTTTGCTGCACTTACTATTAGAAAATAATCTTACTGTTTTGTGTTTTCCCACTTCTGCATAGAAATTAATTTGGGAAACAAATGTTTGATAAATTTTCCATTTGAAAATAATGAACTGAACATCGAAGCTGGAGAAAAACCCCTTTTGGTGTATTAAGCATGATAGAACCTTTTGCAGCAATATTTTAGGGAAAAAAATTATATGTACTTTTTTCACAGATGTCTGAAATGGTAGAGATCTCAAGAACATCTACTCTGGAGCTTCAGAACCAGCTTGATGAATGCAAGGAGAAGAATCGCAGGGAAGTTGCAGATGTGCAGAGACAATTAAGAGAGAAAAACCTTGAGGTAGAAAAATCACGCCTGACAACCATGAGAATGCAAGATGAGGTAATGACTCATAAGTTCAGTGACAAATTCTACCCTTTGACCTAGAATTCAGCTCAGATAATTTTCAGGACAATGAATGTTTGCTACCATGGTTTTCTCTGTACTTTATCATGAGAGACTGATCGCAATCAGCATGCTTTTGAGTTTCGTTCTTCATGATGATGATCAGCGTGTGACTTCTGCCAGGGAAATGGCGTTTCCTGTTTATGACAGATACACTAATTTGTTAAACACTGCATTTATCTTGAGGATTCCATGGATATTCTGCTCTTTTAATGCCTACTACTGAAGGAATTGGCAATGTGGAAATATTCTTGAATTCAGAAAAAACCCAATCCAACAGTTATTTAGAAAAAAACCCCACAAACAAAACAAAAGCAAATTCTGACTCTAAAGGGATTCACATGCATTCTCCTCTTCCTTCGTGTGACCCAAGTTGCCGATTTAAATTACAAAGGTGTCAGTGCAACCAGGAATCAATCAATCTTGAAGTATCTACTTCTTAGCATGTAAAGTTAGCCATAAATGCAATCCAGTCTTTTAAAGATCTGCATATATTTTTCTGCAGTTGGAAAAGCTATGAGAATACACTGGTCACAGACGTTTTCTGTAGGTAGAATATTTTAATAGTTTGGTTTTTTCCAGTTGAGGACTTCTCTTATGTTGTCTTCTCCCCTTAACAAACTTGTTTTAAATTCAGTTTAAAATAACAGCAATAGAAGAGAGGATAGTTCCTATATACGATGCTGTCTTTCTTCTATATTTATTCCATTGAGGGATGGAGAGCCTTTATAAAGGGATGAAGACTCATAGTGAAATGTGAAAGATAAAACTGGGATATTGAAAACATAGCTCTTAAGTCGAATAAATGAGAATAGACAGCTTAAAAGATATGTATATGTGTATGTAAATATTTATACACACTGTATTTACAGTAATTTTGAAAAATATTTCTAGTATTATCTATTACAACTACAAAACAAAGACAAAAGAAAAAATTTCAGAACAAAAAACCCCTTCATTATTTGACAGAAAGAGAATCCAAACAGTATATAAGGAGAAAATATTGTGGAATTCTACATGTCCATGAGGCAACATTTAAAATCCTAGGGTTTTAAAAATGTAGTATGGCAACAAGCTGCAAAAAAGGAAACAAAATCTGAAAATATAGGATAGGCAGGTTAAACAGAAGACTTTATAGAGAAACTAAGTATTTGGGACAATTGAAAGTCTTTATTATCTTTTCTGTGTTTAACAAGAAGTACAAACAGATAGTCCTTGTATTCAACTTGAATGAATCTGTTGTCTGTCAAAATCCTCTTGGGTAGGTGTCATAGTGCACAAAACATTCTTTTTGAGAGTCTCATCTAAAGCCAAGGATTGCCATGATCATGGCAACATGAGTATCATCATCTTGTTCTGGCAGAAAAATTATGAAACAGTCTTGCAAGGCAGTATGGGATTTCTTCATTGCTGCATCTCTTGTAAGTTCTCTGTGGATACATAAAAGATACCAACCTTGAAAGCTGTCAATCCAATGTCATTCTGAAACATTAAATGCATATGAAATGCTATTATTAATATACAGATCTCTGCACTTAACTAGCTGTTCACTAAGTCATGCAGATGTCCAATGTTTTGTTGTCAGGACTTAGCAATAGGTAGCAAACTCTGTAAACAGTCACTAATACATTATTTTAGCTTCATCACTAAAATAAACACTTGACTAGAAAGAGGAAGAGTATGGAAGACTGTATGCTGAAGAAAAATACCTCTCATTGTATATACATGTCACAAGTTAAGTTACAAGTATAAGGAATGATCACTGTCTCACCTAAACCCCCTCTCACCACTTTTACATATATATACACATATATATATATTTGTTAAAGTACTGTGAAGGCTTTAGATAGTTTTATTGAGTACATGCTGTAGGAAACTTTTGTTCTTGGCAGATAGCCCTACTATATCTAAAAGTTATACATATATATATATGTTAGCAATTATGTCATTGGTAAAATGCTGTTGTCAAAGTGCCTCAGACATATAAACTACATAATTATTTAAAACCTAAAGTACTGGTAGTCTGAAAAGGAAAGGAATAATACTGCAAAAGTTCCAAAGATATAACCATTTAGAAAATGGTAAAAACTTTGGCTTGCTCTAACTGGGTAAAAAGAAATAAATAATCACCCTCCCCCCACTATGTATAATTGTTGCTGTAAAACCTGTAGTGTGAAGCATCTCTTTTGATCTGATATTAAATCCAAGTTTATTGTCTTGGTGCCATCTTGTGGATAAACCAAAAATTACTGTGAAAAGCATATAACTCAATGCAATTCCTGTCATGCGTCTGGATCTGTTATGTTTGTAGTCAGTTCCCTTTACTGACATCATTTATTTATAGACAGTACAGTATAAAGTTATTACCATAATCTTATTGCTTCAGATGCGTCTTATGGAAGAAAACTTGAGAGACCACCAGAGAGCTCAGGATGAGGCAATAACAAAAACTCAGCTGCTGGAACAGACTGTGAAAGGCTTGGAGTATGAACTGGAAGCCAAAACCCACTTAAAAGACGATCGGGCAAGACAAATCAAATTAATGGAGGTAAAACACATTTTTAAGGGTTGGTATCTTACTAAAATTGATTAAAATAATTTTGGTATTTGAACATAGATTCTGCCTGGGAAGAATTGAAATAACTTGATGTTGTTGAAACTCCATGTAGTACTACTTCAGGAATTATTCTGATATATTCTGAAGGTGAGCTGTTAGGATGTCTGTTGCAGCATGATGTGTTCTAAATTGCAATTGTTCTTTCATCAGTTTAATTAATTTTAAAATTAATTTTCTCTAGAATCTATTAGGCAAAATTGTATTATTTTCGTTCATAGGCCCATCACTCAGAACTTCAGAAGTATTTAGAAGTGCAAGTTCTATTTAGCATCAATTATCAATTCATTTCAGGAATAATATTGTTACTCTGTGTTATTACAAGGTTAGTTTCATAACTGGACCAACCAAGCTGTCATTTGACTTTCATAAACACTCTTATACCGTTGTACACATACGAAAAGAAATTTGTCCTCTAAACATATAATATAACTTAGACATTCTAAAAACAGTCTCTAGAAACATTACAGAAGTTATCTTATTTTCTTGAAATTGGTGGGAGTGATTAAAAAAGGAAATGAAACTTCTATTTTACTTCAGTCAGACAAACAAATTCAATTTAAAGGCTTATCTACCTGTCATCTCTTTTTCTAGATTCTGTATGTGTTTTCAGAGGCATCTCACTTTTTAAGCCTAGTCTTTCAGACAGTTGGAGTCCTTGAAGTTTAAGGAAGAATGCCCTAGTAGCAGGTTGAAATTACTTTTCTTTGTTCCACTTAGGACAAGTTATCTCACCTGGAACTTGAACTTGATGAAGAAAAGACTAATTCGGATTTGTTGTCTGAGAGGATCAATAGATGCAGAGAACAGGTACTTGAACAAGTTTTCTGACTGTTGTATAATGATGAGGAAAAGTTGCTATTAGGATCACAAACAACATTGATTAACTAAATAATGATTAGCAATAGGGTTTATATACTAAAGCAGAGTATGTAAATGCAAAAAAAAACAAGGTTCACAAACACGATTAAATATGTTCTGTTCCTCCATGTCATCACAGACCAATCTCTTCCTGTTTTCCTAACTGGAAAACTGACACAGACTGCATATAAAGACTGAAGACCAGTATCATCCTCTGATATTCTTGATGCAGTGAGCTACATCAAGTAATCATTGAAGCATGCAGAGATGATGCTATCTTAGGCTTAGTTTTAGGTGGTGAGGCTATCGGAGAAAGCCTGGTTGTAGAAAGTATCTCAGAATGAAAGATCACGATTTTTTAACCTCACTGAAAAGTAGGCCAGCATAATAGTCTTGATCTCAGAGGAGGAGGAGCTTAGGAAATTCTGGAATTAGTGAAAGCAGCTGAACTGAAGATGCTGGCCAGTTTCAACAGAGAGGAAGCTTTATTTTCATTACAAGTTTAAAAAAAAAAAAATCTGATTAAGGTATATCAAAGATAAGACAGTTGTAAAGCATTTTCCACATAAAAACATCAGTCATTTGTTCCAGAAGTGTTATATGAGTAGATAGCCCAGAAAGAGGGGAAGAAGGATTTTTTTAACAAGGTTGTTTCTCATGGGGCAGATAAAGTGAGATTTGCCAAGCTGAGTGAGACATGTCATAGTAATTCAAACAAGTAACAAAAAGGTTCTTGACTGTATAAGTAGAAGAAAAAACTTGTGGAAACTGTACAATTAAGTATCAATCAAGATAAAAAGTAATCCAGGTATTCCTCCTCAAATAAACTAATACTTTGCCTCTGTCTTCAGTAAGACCAGTGAATGTGCAAGTGAGGGGAACTGGAGTGGGCTAATGGAAATGAGACCATTGAGCTGGAAATCACCAGCCTAAGAGAATTAGGAGTTCATTGTTCTGAAGAAAGAGTCCTTAATAATATTATTCAAGATTTCTGAAAGAACGGACATATGAAATTATAGTTCCTGTAGCAAAGATTTATAATAAACTAGAAAGGTAGAGAATAGGGCCTGATGACTGAAGAAGGAACAAGAGCATCCATGGTTGAGCAGTCAGTATTATGTAAGTTTTTGATTAGTCCACAGAGAGGAATATGGTGAAGTGGCTGTCTGGAAATATCACAGCCTAGACAATGTTCTTAGCCTTAGTTTTACATTCTGAAAGATATGAAACTGATGCGTAACTCATTACAGCATGTCTACTACTGTAGCTTTACATTAAGTACTATACCTTATTAGTAATTTCCTAGAAGTCCCAGAGACAATTTGCATTGAGGTACAATCCACAATAGTCTGTTCTGTTTTCATTTCTCTTTCTGCAGAAAAAGAAAAATAAAAAAAATTACTGACATTCTTTGGAATAGCTTTAATTTCAGAGGGAGAACAGAAAGTAAAATCTTAGTTTCTATATCTTCTATATCTATATACAATGAAATTGTATATTCCACTGAGACAGCTGGAGAGTTTTAAAGTGAGCTAGAACTCCTGTTTCTTTCATGCATCCTTGAAACACCAAGGCATCATTACTTTGTTGGGACTCAGGTTACTGAGACTCTATTTGATTGCAATATAGTCTTTTTGCTATTATTCCATTGATATTGTACAGACTCTGATTTAGTGGGTGAAACAGAATGTAAAGGACCCATAATAATGTGGGGTCATGCTATTTTTAGATTAGGAAGCGTCTATGCCTGTGTTGTAAGCCTGGGATGAAAGAACCTTAGTCATAGCTGCACTAGTGGGTACTATAGTAAGTTAATTTGCTAAATGAATGGAAATCTAAAATACAGATGGGTGACCAAAATGTTACATAATGGGTAAAAGATGTGTTTATTTTGAGGTCTGGAGTCTCTCATTTCACACATGAGTTACAAAGGTTGCTTTGTTTTGATTTTATGCCAGAATGACTAAGTAGTCAAATTACTAAAGAGTATTTCAGGGTCTGCTAAGCATTTATAATGACATGAGAAATGATAATGGATATGTTTTGGTAATATCTGTATTTCTGTAATTTTTTTTTAATTATAATGTGTTATTTTACTATACTGATAATGAACTATAATACTCAAATTTCTAGTAAAAACAAATTGAAACAACTGGTTCTATTTTGCATAAAGCTAAATGTTTGAATAAACATTGGCAAGGCTGATAGTTCACATTTCATTTACCATGAAATGTTATCCTTTTTTTAATTTAAACACCTTTTTGAATCTGGGAATGGCTGCATGAGACACTGTTGTCATCTTCCCTCACTGGTCTCCAGAAGTACCACAACAAAGTGGAAATAGTAAAAAAAAAACAAAACGGGGCGGGGGGGGGGAACGTGGATCATAACCTATTCCTTTTTAAATGTTAAGGTAGTAGCAACTCTGGAAAGAGCAAAATGGTCAACAAATACACACACGTAGAAAACTAGAGCACTCAGCTGCCCTTTGAGTCTAAAGCAATCAGGGACAGGGCACATTTTAGTACATGATTTTTTATTTTTTTTCCTACAAACGAAATGAAGTACCTCTTGCCATTTTGTTTTGGCAAACAAAATTGAAAAATACTGAAGATATTCTCATCAATTCTTTTTATCTGTGAAAATGCAAACATGAGTCTACTGACTTCAGAGTTGCTTCCAGGAAGTGTGAAAAATGGACTACTTAGTTTCCATGACAATTTTATAATAAATACAGAAGGATAAAATTACATTGACTGCATTGTTCACTTCCCTTTAGTAAAGCATTCCCAATGGATAGCTGTATCCCTCGGGTGTGGGAAGCAAACAAATGGAAATGTGGACATGAAGGTTGCTTTTCAATTATGAAGGATCAAAGGAGTTTTTTTGGCTTTAGCTTGTTTGTTTGTTAAACATGGGTTTTTTGGTCAAATACTTGAGAACTGTGTACATGGTATATATGTGTGTGTACATATGTATAGGCACGTATATATAGTATTTTTCCCTACTTAAGTATTAACAAGAAACATAGGTGCGAGATGGTAAACAATGGTAATGGCATTATATTAGAAATCAAATTGCTTTTGCTAATAGTGAATTCAACAGCTGCTTCTAATCCTAAAGCTGGCACAAAATGTTGTTACATCTAATAAAGCTTTGTAAAATCTGATACTATTGTTTTTCTTAATTCTTTGTTGTTAGCATTCTTCAAATCCAGCTGTGATAACTGTTGCCTTAAGCTGCAGAAATAGTTTCTCTTATAATTAGAATATATTAGATATAGGAGAGGTAGAATGTGAAGCACAAAGCTCTGTGTGGTACATAACCAGAGCCTGTTAGCTGCTGTGAAATAAGTGAAAAGTTTGAGCACATTTTGGCAGACAACTGCTTTTTTCCTTTGTGCATGTTAATTATGTTTACTAATGAAAAGTGCAAGGAGATAAGTGAAAAGTGCTACCTCCCCCAGCGAGAATTGTCCTGCTGCCCTTTTTACAAGCTCTTGTATACATTTGCACATAGGTTTCTGATCCTAATCAGATATAATACTTTTTTCTCTCTCCCACTGCTTTTCTGGGAGGTTGCTTTTACCCTGAGGTGTCCAACAACAGGAGCAGTCATCTTGGAAATATAATAATTCCTTAATTTGAGATCTTGGGAAGGTTGCGCAAATTTGTCACAGCCTTTGAGCACAGTAAGAGTGCAGTAGAACTTTTAGAGTGGTCCATTAAGCAAATTCCCACATAAAACAAAACCCCTTTCTTCAGTTTACAGTTGCATTTTTAATTAGTCATTAATTTTACTACAAATTTTGCTTTTTCTTTTCCTGTGTCTGTCTTCATGGCTAAAGCAATTACAACAGAATAAATTATATGTAATCCCTCACATTATAACTTTTTTCATATATTTCATTAATAAATGTAACTTATATACATGAGTTATTCTAATTTCTATACAGAAAATATTTTAATATATAAATTAATATCTTACTATAATGTACAAACCATTATTTTTATTATTAGCTTTCCATGTGACAATGAGAACTTTTAGGAAATTACCCAGCTGTTGAGAACTGAGCCACGTGCTAACATTTGTAGTCCAGTAACTGTTATGA